GCATACAGTTCATTGTTTTAATATAGTCACAAAGTTGTGCAGCTGTCACTGCTATATAATTCCAGAACATATCCATCAACCCAAAAGAAACCCTGTGCCCATTAGCAGTTACTCTGCCTCTCTCCTCAAAACCACTAATCTTTCTTTCTGTATGAATCAGCCTAGTCTGGCTTTTTCATATAAATGGCATTGTACAATATGTGGCCTTTTGCGTCTGGCTTATTTCCCTGAGCATAATGCTTTCACTTAGTGTACGTCACTCCTTTTTATGGCCAAATCATATCCAATTGTCTTGATATACTGCACTTTGTTTATCCATTGATCAGTTGATAGTCATTAGGGTTTTTTATACTTTTTGGTGATTGTGAATAATGTTGTTGTAAACATTCATGTAAAAGTTTTTGTGTGGACGTATGTCTTCAGTTCTCTTGGGTATGTATTAGGAGCAGAATTCTGACTTACAGGGTAACTCTATGTTCAACTTTTTGAGGAACTGACAAAGTGTTTTGTAAAGTAGCTGCATGATTTTACATTCTCTGTAGCGTAGGAGGGTTCCAGCTCTCCACACTCTGGCCAACACTTGTTATTGTGTGTCTTTTGATTACTGCTTTTTAGTGGGTATGAGGTGGTGGCTTAATGTGGTTTTAACTCACATTTCCCTAATGACTAATAATGTTGAGCATTGGCACAGTGCAGAGGCGGGCACCTGTAATCCCAGCACTTTGGGAGGCTGAGGTGGGTGAATCACAAGGTCAGGAGTTCAAGACCAGCCTGGCCAAGGTGGTGAAACCCTGTCTCCACTAAAAATACAAAAATTACTGGACGTGGTGGCAGACACCTGTAACCACAGCTACTCCAGAGGCTGAGGCAGAGAATTGCTTGAACCCAGGAAGGGAAGGTTGCAGTGAGCCGAGATCCCACCGCTGCACTCCAGCCTGGGTGACAGAGCAAGACTCCATCTCAAATAATAATAATGATGATGATGATGAGGTTGAGCATCTTTTCATGGGATTTTCCATTTTTTTCTCACAACCTTACTGAACCAGTTCAAGCTTTCGAAAACATTTGACGCCCTTAGTGATACCCTCTTTGAAATTTGTTCTTCTCTGGGCTGTTGGAACTTACCCTCTCTTGATTTTGCCTTTCCTCACTACAGCCTTAAATCAAGTCCTACTCCTCTTCCCAAACTTCAAACGTTGGAATGGCCCAGTGCTCGGTATTTACCTTATCCCGTTGTGCTTTTCTTCATGACATTTATTTCTATCCAAAATTGAAATGTATAATTAGTCATTTCCTTACCTATATTCTGCATTGCCCATTGGAATATAAGCTCTAGGAGGACAGGGGCTTTGTTTTGTTCATGACTATATCCTGTTTCCTAGAATAGCACCTAGAAATAGATATTTTTGAGTGAATGAATATATGCTTTAGAGAAGTGTACAGAAGTGTTACATGAATAAAAGTCAGGATTCCATAATCAAATAAGTTTCTGGAATGTTGGATTAGATGAAGTTAAACAAGCATCTTTTGTGTGGGACTTCTCATACTTTAATGTGCTAATGAGCATTGTGAAATGGTATTTGACCATGGAAATAGTTTTGGTATGGAATGTGTCCTGGGACTTTAAAAAGATACTCTCTAACTCTAGCAGCTAAACTGTAATCCCTAGCAAATTTGTGGAAGGCCTTTATTAAATATCTGTGTTGTTGGCACTTAGAAAAGTAAGTTGTGATCACCACTGCTTAATATGAAATGCTAAGAACAGATTATATCAAATTATCCTCATCTCTGCTATTTGTAGGGTTTTTATCAGAATGTCATTGTATTAGAAGGCCTTAGTAATGGTATTTTTTCACAGACACAAGGCTTTAAGCTGGCTTTATCATGATTTCCCTGTTCTGAGAAATTGAGTGGGTTGTCAGCATCCAGTGATCAGACTGTCACTTAAGAATTCGTGTCAAGATATCAGGGTAGGTTAAGATCTATGCCCTTGGGGAAAAAAATCACCTGTACAGTGAGCTGTTTACTGTCCTCAGTGTGTCACAGTGAATTTTAAGTGGTGGCCAGTGATCAAGAGTGGCTTTTCTAGAATTTGATGGTAACACAGCCGATAGAGACAGCCCTGAACAGTAAACCCAGAAGAGGAGGGTAAAGAAAAGGAGGCAGGGAGATAGGCCTGGAGCCTGGACATTCCCAAGTGCAGGGTCACAGCCCACCATATGTTAGTAGTGGATAGTAACAGGCATATTCGTGAGGACCAGGCGAGGAAAGTGGTCAGAGTGCAGAAAGCCAGAGAAGCATTCAGAAAGATGTCTCCACATACTGGACATGGTAGCTCACACCTGCAATCCCAGCTACTTGGAGAGAGGATTGCTTGAGGCCAGGAGTTTGAGAACAGATTGGGCAACACAGTGAGAACTCCATCCCTAAAAATATGAAGAAGAAAAGTTATCCGGCTGTGGTGGCATGCATCTGTAGTCCCAGCTATTTGGGAGGCTGAGACAGGAGGATATCTTGAGCCTGGGAGTTGAAGGCTGCAGTGAGTTATGAATGCATCACTGCACTCCAGCCTGGGTGACAGTGAGATTTTGTGGGGGGAGAGAGAGAGGAAGGGGGGGAAAAAAGGAAAGAAAATGAAAGGAATGAGAGAAGAAAGGAAGGAGGAAAAGAAGAGAAAACAGAGAGGAAGTATAGAAGGGAAAAGAAGGAAAGAAAGAGAATAGTGACAAAGAAAGAGTCTACACATAATGCAGTAGGGCAGGCAAAACAGTGAGTGACCTCAGTGCCCACACTGGTACCCATGGCAGGAGTGAGATAAGAAACCAGATGAATATTGTAAGCCAGTGGTTCTCTCAAAGTGCGACATTAGACTAGCAGCAGCTGGGAGCCTGTTAGGAAGGCAGACTTTCAGGGCCCTGCAGTCTGCATTTTAACAAGCCCCAAGTGCAGGTGGAAGTTTGAGAATGGCTAGTCCAATCAACAGAAACAAGCTTTCGCTAAGAGATGCTTGAACAATGCCCTCATTCAAGGAGCTTCTTAATATCTTTTTTTGCTGGTGCAGAAATCATCCCTGAATGTGATGTCTACTTGGCCTTCAGGTTTAAATGTGTTTTTTTAAGTAATAAAAGTAATTCTTCTGCAGTTCCAGGTAATGAAAAGCTGCATGCTAAGCACATGGTTAGCAGACTTAATTCTTTTAACCCTGTGAGGTGCGACCATTATAATCCCCATTATAGATAAGGATGCTGACACACAGACTTTGTGAGGCAAGGTCACACAGTTAGTTTGTGGTAGGTCCAGGATTTGCATTAGGAAATTTGACTGCAAGACACTGGTCTGGAACTTCCTAGAATATATAAAGAAGATGATGAAGGATGGGAGGGAGACAGAGGGGGAGAAAGGAAGAGTGGGGAAAGAAAGACGAAAAGAAGAAAGGAAGAAAGGAAGAAAAGAAGAAAGGATAGCAGGAGATTTTAGAATTAAAAAGTGATTGAAGGCTCCTTCTAAGGGTGGTCTGTATCCTTGTACTGTGTTATTTTCCTGGTTTTGCTTTTAAGTCAGCCTATCTAGAGATTTCAGTAGATTCCAGCCTGGGCCTACCTGTCCAGCTTTCTCCTAAGAATTTGGTTTCATGGGTAGTTTGTGATTTATTTTTTCTTGTTTGTTCTTTCTCTTTCTCTTTCCATGTTCGCATAGTCTTTGTGACTTAGGTACACACTTGGCCCAGTTGCTAAGAGATCCGTGACCGGCTTTACCATTGACTGGTGTATATTCTGGTGTATATTGGGTAGTACGCTCAGGGTCTGCTTCGAAGCTCTTCTCTGCTTCATTCACCTTGGACCACACTGCACCCTGCCTCTGCTTTAATAGCATATCATTTTCCCCTTCCTTGTATAGCAAAGCCGCAGGGACACTTAATCTTGTATTCTCTGGAGGCCTTTTGGAGCCTTGGAGCCTGATCTCAGTAATCAAGAAGGGGTGGGTGGTCAGGGATGAGGTTTGACCCTCTGTCTGTCTCTCTATATTTAAGCTTTTCATTTTCACATTCTCCCCATGGTTTATAATAAAAGTAGAACATAGCTCAAGGGCAGGAATGAGGTTTAACTTCAGCTGAGGTACAGTAGAGGCTATTTGGAAAGTAAAACTTTCAAATGGTAGTTTAGCCTTGAAGAATATATTGAATTAGATATGCTCCGAGCCTTGATTCACGATTGCTGCCTAATAGCATTGCTATGTATATTACCAGGGTGCATTAGTAGACTACAGAAATGGGCTGTTTAAAAGATTAAGTTTGCACAGTCAGTGCACGTGCTGATGAAACATGTGGGAGCAAAAGGCAGGCGGCCTCGTTTCCGGTGCTGACTTCTACTTCCTGTGGGGCCCTGGCCTCACTGAACCACTGATTTCCTCTTCTGTAAAGTGAAGGTCATAGCCTCACAGGATTTTTAAGAGTGCTAAATGACAGAATGCCAAATGCAGAGCTTTGCTTATCATAGGAAATAAAGGCGTAATAAATGAGAACTGTTTATATTACTATGATATGATTACTGTTCAAAGCCCAGAGTCTGTAATTCTGCCCATACTACTTGCTACTGTCGTTCATTAACTGTTTATGTATACAGTTCTCTGTTAGCCAATTCTCATTTCTTGTCAGTGTCAGAGTCATGATGGTCACCGTTGAAGACATGCTGTCATTTCAAAGCACTGGTTAAACACAACCAAGACTGACAACCATGAATAATTTCATAGAGCCTCTAAAACACTGTAGCATTTCACTCCATCTCTCATATATACCACCAAGTTGTTCTCTCTTGCTTAGTGCACTCTCTTCTTGGCAGATTTCAGGTATAGTTACTGATGGTGAATATCAACTTCCTCTGAAAAATAATCCAGCAGGAACCATCCAGAGTAATTGGGCTTCATGAGAGCATCACTGTCAAGTCTAAAAATATATGAGGAGATAATCACATTTTATTTTTTTCTTTCTTGTATATTTTCAGCACGTTCACGTCCATGTTCTTCCCAGGAAGCCTGGAGACTTTCACAGGAATGACAGCATCTATGATGAGGTGGGTCTGCGCTCTCTGATCTTATTGTTTGATTACGGGGACTGTCGGTGTGATGGCATCAGCCTAATGAATCAGCAAATACCCTAGATATGGTCTGAAATGGGATTGTATTTAGTCTGTCTTAGAAAGTGGCAGTAGAGGCCAAGAGTCAAGAATGGCCATCATGGGAACCCAAGACTAAGTTAATTATAATGATTTTCTTTTTCAAATGAAAACCAGCAGAAACCAAATGTCCTTGTGATTTCTATCCTGTCATTTACCAGGACAGTAAGTATTTTCATGGAGATATGGTCCAGAATCTCCAGAGAAGAAAACCTACAGTGCTGCCAGTGGAAGTCAAGTAGATTGATACATGATTCTTTTAGTCAAATGCTATACTTAATTTTCAAAACACTTTGGAACTCACCTTGTCTTTCCCAACAGCATTTATTCAGAGTGAAACTCTGAATTATCATGAGCAAAACTAGGTTGGTTAGAATAATATAGGTGTAACGCACATATCATAAATATTGTAGCAGTTATTTTATTTATGAGTACTCCCATTCAAAGATACAAGTGTAAAACCACTACAAACATGAATCAGCAAGAGCCAGGTGATCCGCTCTTAAAGCGGATGTCTACATGAGAACCTCCAGATGCCCAGTTCCACCATGTGGCGCATAGAGCCTGTGATGTATCAGATTGGCATAAAATATAAGGTGATTTCATTGTACCTATTTACTCTAGCCAAGGAGTGGAAAGTAAGTGCTCGATATGGTAGAGCAAATTCGATAGCACTAGTGTCCTGGAGTGATTGGTTAAAAGGACTCTGAGGCTGTTTCTGGATGCAACAAGGAAAAGTACTGTGATTGATTAGCAATGCCTGCCAAAGGCATCAGATAGGAGGGACGTACCATATTTGCTGTCTATTTGGCACTCCTTTTCTAACGCTCTGAGAATGCTTTTTAAGACACATTGCTTATCTCAATTGTTCATCATGTGGTTCTATCAAATAAACCACATGATTATCTCTACCTGCTTTCCAGGGACCAGTTAAAATCTATGCATCTTTTCGCATGTGTGTCTATAGGGCTTCTTTGCAGGATGGCATTAAAATGGCAACTCAAACCCTGAAAATAAAGAACAGGAGGTCAGCAGTTAATAATGAAACTTACAATTAATGTTTCTGGGATATGCTGGGTTCCATGAGGTGGCTGGTTATTCTGACTTTAGGATAGCCCTTACTATCTTGTACTTCCTGTGTTTTCAAGAGCTGTATTGGATGTGTGTAGATTGGAACTAGTCTATTCACCAGTACCTAAGTGCCGATTTGTGGACCAGTTGCTGCAGATCTCAATTCCCAGGAGGTCCAATCCCTGGAGATCCTGATCAAGTAGATTGCACAGCACTCAGGAATCATTCATTATATAAGGAAATCCCCAGGAGACTCGGATGCAAAACGACATTTGGGAATAGGTTGTCTAGGTTTTCCAAAGTCATATTCTATAATACTATAATTTGAATTCATTTTCACTGGATGTGGAATGCAGTTTGGGGATTGATAAAGGCTTAGTTCACATTGTAAGAAAATCAGAATTATAGAGTAATTATAAAGACATGCAATTAAAATACAAATACCAATCTCACTAACATAGACTAAGGTTAATAAAATGTTGCCAAATACAGGCTGTTTTAATGACTAAATTAGCACCTGAATTATATACTAGTAAATGCTGGTAAAGTAGCTTTAAAAGTGCTTGAAAACACTGTTTTCATAAGCTGAACAGTCACCTTGAAATCTTGTCAGTGTTCTAAATGTGCTTGGGACAGAAGCTTCATGGTGACATTTCAGCCCAGTTCAAGACAGTGTCCAGGGCTGTAGTTGGTATATGCCCTCTCTCCTCTCTTATTCTTTTGCCGTTGTCTGCATATTCTTATGGCCCCACAGATAAGAAGGAAACACATGTTCCTACTTCCCACATTTTGGAGGATCATCTCAGGAGAAGTAATTACCATAAGAGTTCTTTTTTTTTTTAATCGGTGGTATGAGTCATATGTAGTATAGACAGTATTCACTAAGGGAGATTGTGGTACAAGACTGGGTAGAGATTGAAGTCTGGAAATGGGCAGAAATACATTCAAATCCCAATGGCATCTACTAACTATATGCTATTGAAGCCTGAAGGCCTTATTTCAGGGCTTGATACTTACCAAGAATTTGTTAATAGGTAGGGGTTTCTGTTCTTACTGTTATTATTACTAGTTTCGTTTCTTTTTAAAAAGGTAGCAATAGTGAGCAAATAGAGAACCAGATCAAAGCCAGGACATTGGATGTTCCCATCTACCATTCTTTCCAAGAGTGACATTCACAATTTTCCCATTTCCTTTAACCATTCCTTCTCAGTTTCATCTTCCTCTTTATATGGAAATGCTTCTCCAGGCTGAGTATCTAATAATACAGTGTCCAGAAAGAGGCATGAAAAGCATGCAACACTGCACAGGCATTATTGGTATAGTCCTTAATGTACATTAGACCAAGTGATCTTAATCAGAAGTGATGGAGTGATGAGGGATGGCATTCTTTATATTGATGGGAGCACTTGCTCTAGATTATGCATCTGTTCAGGACGATCAACAAACAGACTGCCTTGGAGGGTGGGAGGTAGGAAACAGGGACAGCAGGAGGCTGAGCTCCATAAAATGTTAATTGTATTCCTATGGCTACAGATACAGAAAATTATGTGTAAAAAAGCCCCAGAGTATAAATTGGCTAGGAACATTGTGGTTCTTTCTCGGCATTGTTTTAACATGGTTAGTGACAAATACGAAGGCTCATAAGAACAGTGGTTGGGTCTGAAAACAGATTTGGGGAATAGTTGATGGTAGGAGTGTTTTGTCTGGAAAAAGGAAGACTTGTGGAGGGGAGATAGTAGAGAGTCGCTGTTTCCAAATATCTGAAGGGCTGGCAGTGGAAAGGTATTAAATACATTCTAGGTAGCTCCAGAGGACAAATCTGAGATTATCAGACTACAAGATGGAAGGTATCATCAGCTCTACATAATAACAGGTCAAAGTGAGAAAAACTTCTGAACACTTAGGGTGCCTTATAAGGGGTTGAGCTTCCCACCCCTGGATCCACTCAAGCACAGAGCAGATGGCCACAGTTCTTCATGAGGATGTCCACATTTGGTCACTGCACATTTGACCCATTTGATCATTACCACCATCTTCAGAGTTTACAAGTTCTGTAACAAATAGTGGGGTGTTTTTGTTATTAGTATTACAATGTGACTATCTAATGAAACATTGTTTTCTATGTTAAGTTCATGGAAATATAAGGTAAAACCCTTTTTTTCTGTTTACTTATAGGAAACCACACTCTACTGACTTTTTCTCATTCCCAGCCTACTCCCTGCTTTTCTTGGGGCTCAGCATTGCATATTGATGGTCCTTGGGCTTTGTTTGCCTCCTCATATGTGTTTTATTTTTGCCTGCAAAGTATGTTTTGGTGATGTGCTTTATTGTGCCCGTAAAGTATTTTTTTAACAAGGCTAAATGTTGTTAGGCATATTGCTCATTCTTTAGGCCAAAACAGTTGTCACAACTGTCTCCCACCTAGGATTGCTTCACTGGCTTATGGTGCCTGCGTGGCTCCTGAAGGCATTAGAGTTTGAGATCACTCCCTATTTCATGGGCTGCTCCTCTTCTCTCTGCCACACAAAGATTACTATTCCCCAGGATCTTCTGTTTGGTATACTGGGCATGCTGTTTATCTGAAACATCTGTTTCACCTCCCTGCCTACTCATACACAGTGCTCTGGCCCTAGGTGAGTTCTTTTTCTGTTGTTATTATTTTACTTCAAGTTCTGGGATATATGTGCAGAATATGCAAGTTTGTTATATAGGTATGCACGTGCCATGGTGGTTTGCAACACCTATCAACCCATCATCTAGGTTTTAAGCCTGGCATACATTTGGTATTTGTCCTAATACTCTCCCTCCTCTTTGCCACCCACCCCCAACAGACCCCAATATCTGTTGTTCCCCTCTCTGTGTCCATATCTTCTCATTGTTCAACTCCCACTTATGAGTGAGAACATGAAGTGTTTGGTTTCCTGTCCCTGTGTTAGTTTGCTGAGAATGATGGTTTCCAGCTTCATCCATGCTCCCTGCAAAAGATGTGATCTCATTCTTTTTGTGGCTACATAGTATTCCATGGCATATATGTGCAACATTTTCTTTATCCAGTCTCTCATTGATGGGCATTTGGGTTGGTTCCAAGTCTTTGCTATTGTAAATAGTGCTGCAGTAAACATATGTGTACATGTGTCATTATAGTACAATGATTTATAGTCTTTTTGGTACATACCCAGTAATGGGATTGCTGGGTGAAATGGTATTTCTGGCTCTAGATCCTCGAGGAATTGCCACACTGTCTTCCACAATATTTGAACTAATTTATACTCCCACCAACAGTGTAAACACATTCCTATTTCTTCACAGCCTCATCAGCATCCTTTGTTTTAATAATCACCATTCTGACTGGCCTGAGATCTCAGTGTGGTTTTGATTTGCATTTCTCTAATGATCAGTGGTGATGAGTTTTTTTTGTATGTTTGTTGACTGCATAAATGTCTTATTTTGAGAAGTATCTGTTCATATCCTTTGTCCACTTATTGATCGGGTTGTTTGTTTGTTCTTGTAAATTTGTTTAAGTTCCTTGTAGATTCTGAAGGCTAGAACTTTGTCAGATAGGTGGATTGCAAACCTATCATTCTGTAGGTTGCGTGTTCACTCTGATGCTAGTTTCTTTTGCTGCGCAGAAGCTCTTTAGTTTAATTAGATCCCATTTTTCAGCTTTGGCTTTAGTTGCAATTGCTTTTGGTGTTTTCAGCATGAAATGTTTGCACAGGTCTATGTCCTGAATGGTGTTTCCTAGGTTTTCTAACAGTTCTGAAATTAAGGCAGTAATTAATAGCCTACCAACTAAAAAAAAACCCAGGATCAGATGAACTCACAGC